AAAAAAACCCCACAAAACATCTTTTATCATCTATTAAATACTAAGAAAATCTAAAAGTTTGATGAAACTGAGTTACTAAGAGTCAACATAACCCTTAAGTCAAGAAGAACTTGGAGTAAAGTATTCAAGCCCCCAAAGAAAACAACCTCCAGGGCCAGATTCAGCTCAGTGGTTCTGTCAGCTGCCTTTCAAACACAAGGACCAGAGTTCAACCCCCAGTACCAAAAAACCAAGCAAACAAACAAAAAAAACTATCAATCCAGCTCAGACTGATGTACACCACAAAATTACCTTTCAAAATTGATGGAGAAATAAGATACTTCCATAAGGAACACCTGAAGAAACTCATGACCACCAAACGAGCACTCCAACAAGTTCACAAAAAGACAGTGAAGACAACAATTCCATGAACAATAGAATAAATCCACCAGGCACGACAAGTAATTAAACAGAGGGGAAAGGGAAGCGACAACAGAAAAATAGCGTGATAAGGATAAGTCAATACATACAAGTTATAACCATCAATGTAAATGATCTCAATTCACCAATCAAAAAAACAGACTGACAGAATGGATCAAGGAACCAGGTCCAACAATATGCTGCCTAACTAGCCTTTAGAATGTGTTTAAATAAATGCAAAGGAATTGAAATTATCCCATGCATATTATCAGATCATAGTGCAATGAAACTGAAAATCAATGAAAAAAGAAACCATAAAAATTCTACAAACACATAGAAATTAAATGAGACCCTCCTGAACAATTAATGGGTCACAGATGAAACTAAAGAAGAAATTAGATAGTTTCTACAATTAAAGGATAACGCCAATACAACCTATCACAACTTACGGGATGCAATGAAATCAGTCCTATGAGGGAAATTTATAGTGGTGAATTCTCACATCAGAAAGACAGAGCAAAGCTCAAATAAATAACGTAGGGGCCGGGGATTTAGCTCAGTGGTTCGGTGGCCTGCCTCGCAAGCGCAAGGACCCGAGTTCGATACCCGGTACCACAAAATAAATAAATAAATAAATAAATAAATAAATTAAATAAATAAATAACCAACCAACCAACCTAACACTGAACCTCAAACTCCAGAAAAAGGAAAGCAAGTTAAACCCAAAACATGTAACAGTAAGGAAATTGCAAAGATCAGAGCAGAAATTAATGCCATTGAGATTAACACCACAAAGAATTAGTGAATAAAATAGTTGGTTCTTTGAAAGATTAAATAATATAGACAAACATTTAGTCAATTTTATCAAAAAAAGGAAGACTAGGGCTGGGGATTTAGCTCACTGGTTCTGTGCCTGCCCTGCAAGTGCAAGGTCCTGAGTTTGATCCCCAGTACTGAAAAACAACAACCACCTCAAATCTATGCAATTAGGGATGAAAAGGGCAAAATCACAACAGAGCCTACAGAAATCCAGAAGATAATCAATACCTACTTTGAAAATCTGTACTCAATTGAGGGAAAACACAGAAGAAATGGAGAGATTCCCAGATATACATGAATTACCAAAGATAAAATCAAGAAGATATAGGGACTAAGGATTTAGCTCAATGGTTCTGCTATCTGCCTTGCAAGTACAAGGACCCAAGTTCCATTCCCGGTACAAAAAAAAAATCAAGGATATAAAAATTCTAAAGAACCCAATATCAGTCAATGAAATTCAAGAAGTAATTAAAAACTACCATCAAAGAAAAGCCCAGGTGGGCTGGGTATTTAGCTGACAGACATTGCTCCTGCTTGCACAAGGACCTGAGTTGCAAGTACAAGGTACTGAGTTTGATTCCTGTACAGGGGTGGGGTGGGGGAAGGCTTGAGACCTGATGGATTTACTCCTGAATTCTACAAAAAATTTAGAGAAGATATAATGCCACTACTCTTCAAACTCTTCAATGAAATGTATTGCTGAAAGTATGTGAATATACTTGCATATACAGCTGGTGAGAGAATAAACTGTCTTAGGGTGGTAACCTAGCAATTCCTATCATGTTGTTTGAGCTAGTTAATTCTACTTTTACTTGCATATATACCAAAAAGGTTTGTAAAAGAAGTATTCAGCTGGGCATGGTGACTCAGGCTTGTAATTCCAGCACTCGGGAGACTAAGGCAGGAGGACTACCATGAGTTTGAGGATGGCTTGAACTATACAGTGAGACCAAACAGGGTTCATTTATATAATGGAATATGATACACCCACCAAAATGTCAAGATAGCTCTATGTGTGATATGGAACAATGTGGAAGATACATTAGGTCCAAATAAAAAAGCCAAAGTTGGACCAAGGGTGTACCTCAGTGGTAGAACAACTGCCTGACATGCTTGAGACCCTGGTTTTGATCTCCAGCACCAAAAGCAGGTAGAAGTGAAGGTATAAAACAGTTCATGGAGTATGTGCTTATATTTTGAAAAGCAATAAATATCTCTGCAAAGACACACAAGAAACTGGTGCTTATATATGTCTCTGGGGATTGGTCCTATATAGTTACCTCTGCGGAGACTAAAGATTACTTTTCACTTTCATACTTTCTGAGCTTCATAAACATATACGTTATATATTTATTTAATATCAGCCTCTCAGGTACTGTGATCATAGGGGTGTGCCATTATGCCTTTAAAAAAAGGAAGCCAGTTTCATGAGGCAGCAGCTCCTATAAATGCTGACCCTGCAAATGAGCTTTTGTTGACCCTAAAAGAGCGTATAAGCCAGAGCCAAAGTTTGCTCATCTATTCTTAGCAACTTACCTTTTGCTCTGAAACTTTCAAGACTGAAGTCCTGAGTGTCTTTTAGGAAAGGTTCAAGTTTCTGAACTGAGAACTAAATTTAAAAAAGCATTTTTAGTATGATAACCAAAATTTTCCTGGCCAGTCCTAAATTCAAGCAAAATTATGTTTAATAAATGTAAAATTAAACTGGGCATGGTGATGTGTGTCCATAATCCTACTACTCTGGGAGGCAGAGACATGAGGAAGAATTTGCAATCTAAATTCAAGCCAGCCTGACAATTTAGTGAGAACTTATCTCAAAATAAATAATAAAAGGTCTAGGAATGCTGTTCAGTGCAAAGGCCCTGGGTTCAAATCTCCAGCACTGCATAAACAAATGAATAAATAGGGAAACTAAACATGATTTAATTTTTTCTACCTATGACTTTCCTCTTTGTTTCTTTTTGGAATAGGGTCTCATGTTGTTCACACTGGCCTTGAACTTGCTATGTAGTCAAGGCCAGCCTCAATCTCAAGATGTACCTGCCTCAGCTTCCCAAGAGTTGGTATTGCAGGCATGTGCCACCATGCCTAGCATCACCTAAGACTTTTTTTGGGGGGTACCAGGGATCGAACCTGGGACCTCGCACCTGTGAAGCAGGCAGCAGCATCACTGAGTTAAATCCCTGACCCTAAGACTTTTGTTGTTGTTGTTGTTGTTGTTTTGTTTTTTGAGACAGGGTCTCACTATGTAGTTGAGACTGACCTGGAACTCACTATGTAGCCCAGGCTGGTCTCGAACTCACAGCGATCCTCTTGCCTCGGCCTCCCAAGTGCTGGGATTACAGGCATGCACCACCACGCCTGGCCCTAATATTTTTCATATAAATAAATAACTAGTTCAGGAAAAAACATTCAATGTTGCTCAGACTATATATTTTGATTTTTTTAACTGAGGAAAAAATATGGCCATTTAATTTACACAAATTACTTATCTAAATTGCCATAAGCACCAGTGAACTATACAATAAGCAATATAACTTTAAGAAAAACTGTGTAATATGAATCACATATTGATATATCCTGTAATCAACTCAAATATCTATAGTAATTGAGATTTTTACTTTTACTCATTTCACGTTCCCCTCATTTGCTATGAATGGGCAAAAAATAAAATAATCGGGAAATGTTAGCCACTCAGCAACAATGGGACTAATCTGAAAAGAACTCATTACCTGAATTAAATCTAGCTTTTAAATTAATCTCAACCCTGAAAGAAACATTTTTAAAATGAGTTCATCTCACAGTATTAATGCCTCTTAAAATTTGCCATATTAACAATGAAAACATCAAATTAAAAAAAAATGAAAGCATTTTCAAATCTTGAGAATCTCACCTGGAAACTGGAAAGCAGGAGAGCTCCAAGACGCTTGCTTTCTGCTAAGTCAACACTGATGGACCTGCTGAGTTCTAAAATAAGATATTGCCACATTTAAAGAACTGTTTACTTACATAGCAAAGTAACAAAACTAAAATTTTTCCTCTCTGTTGATGAAATCCAACTAAAGGGAAAAAACGCCTTTTTCTAATTAAAGTGCACATTCTACTTCCAGGACCACCAAAGAACATTTACCTATTTGCACATCTAAGTGTAATGCTATGAGGATCTTTTCTGTACATTATACTAAAATCTTGTTTTGTTAAATAAGGTAGACAAAAAATGATTCAACTGTTTTTATGATTCTTATTCACTACATAAGGAGCTAAGAACCTTTGAGTATTTTTACGAGAGGTACTGCAAATGTACTTTTAAAACATTATTTTGGGGCCGGTGTGGTGGCGCACAACTGTAATCCCAACACTTGGGAGGCTGAGGCAGGAAGATCACTGTGAGTTTGAGACCAGCCTGGGCTACATAGTGAGTTTCCGGTCAGTCTCAAATACATGGTGAGACCCTGTCTCAAAAAGCAAAAACGAAAACAAAACAACATTATTTTGGGGGCTGGGGATTTAGCTCAGTGGTTCCACTACCTGCCTCACAAATGTAAAGTCCTGAGTTTGATCCCCAGTACCAAAAAACAACAACAAAAGCAAAAACCACACATTATCTTAAGGGTGAGGGATTTAGCTCAGTGGTGCTACCGCCTACCTCGCAAGTGCAAGGTCCCAAGTTCAATCCCCAGTACCCAAAAAACAAAACAAAACAAAAAACCCACATTATCTTAAGAGTTTTTAAAATAAATTATATTAAGCTTCATTTTACAAATAGGGAAACAAGCAGAGAGGAAATTACTTGTTTGAAGCCAGAGACTAAAGTCATAATTCAAATCTAAGTCTACCATCAAGATCAATGCTTTTTGGCTGAGGATTTAGCTCAGTGGTTCTGGCACCTGCCTCGCAAGTGAAAGGTCCAGAGTTCAATCCCCAGTACCAAACAAACAAAAAAATCAATGTTTTTCCCCTGTGTTTTTGCCTCTCTATAGTGATCTAATTAACACAGTTAATACCTGCTCAACTTGTTCTATAAAAGGCATTTTCTTAAATTCTATACATATTTCACTAAACTTCGAGACACGTATCACATCAATTCCATCTGAGGACAGATGACACTGAGGAGCAAAGGCTGGGTAACAAATCACTTACTCAAGAAGATCATCCAATGAACTACAAGACTGAACTGGGTGAGCATTTTACATAATTATGCCACCAAATTCTCAAACAACTAGATGATGTTAGATACTGTTTTTTAATTATGCCCCGTTAAAAACAATTTATTATACAGCAAAGGAAATTTAGTAGAATTATTAGCACTTTCTTTTTGATCTCCAGCTTCTACTAGCTGTGTTTCTAAAGTTCTCATCTTTTCTCATGATTAATTCTTGCTTAGTCAAGAAAAACAGGATTCTGGCTGCCTATAACTAGGAAAACTTGGAAGGTGGCCAGGAAAAAAAAAAAAAAGAAAAAAAGAAAAGAACCAATCCTTTTTGTTGTTAAGACAGGGGCTCACTACATAAGAGTTCAAGGCTGGTCTTGAACTAGCTATGTAGCTATGGCGGCCTCAAATCCAGTGATCCTCCTGCCTCAGTCTCCCGAGTTGCTGGGACTACAGGCATGCGCCTGGCAAAAATAATCCATTTTATTACAATTACAATGGTGATTTCCATTATAAAAATGCTCTGAAATAGAGATGAAGGTATGGCTAATTTTTGGGAACTACTACTGATTCTTCACAGATCCATGGAGGAAGTGCATGACAACTGTGGCAGCTTTTTTTTTTTTTTTTTTGTACCAGGGGTTGAACTCAGGTCCTTGTGCTTGCAAGGCAGGCGGCAGCACCGAGCTAGATCCCCAGCCCTATCAATTTTCTGATATGCTAAGTGGCTAGTTTTACCCAGATTACCTTGTACATATCAGACCTCCTGAAAGTACAGTAATACATTAAAAGTAGTCACAATAACTTAATATTTGAGGACTTTCATGTGCTAAGTATACACATATTATATCAATTTGTTTAATCTTCACACCTTATTATTTCCAATTAAGTAATCTGAGGATCACATTAGACTTTCCACATTATATCTTGTGCTTTGATAATGAGGTAGTTATGACTGTAAATCCACACAAAATCATAGAAATCAAAGGCTGGGCATAGTGGTATATGCCTGTAATCCCAGAATTCAGGAGGCTGAGGCAGGAGGACTGCTGTGAGTTCAAGGCCAGTCTGGGTTACATAGTGAGTTCAAGCCCAGCCTGAACTATTATATAATCAAGATCTTATCTCAAAAAAATAAAACAAAACAAACAAAAAAACAAATCACATAAATATGATACCCCTAGGGCAGGGGATTTAGCCCAGTAGTTCCGCCACCTGCCTCACAAGTGCAAGGTCCCAAGTTCGATCCCCAGTACCTTAAAACAAAACAAAACAAAAACAAAGATATCCCTAAAAACTGCCCTTTCACTTAGATATGATAACATACACCTGTAATCCCGGCCTCTAGGAGGCTGAGGCAGGAGGATTACAAGTGCGAGCCCAGCCTGGATAACTTAGGTGACTCAGTAAGAACTTATCTCAAAATAAAAAATAAAAAAGGTGTGATGATGCTCACTGTTTTATATATATATATATTTGGGGGGGTACCAGGGAATGAACTTGGGACCTTGAGCTTGCAAGGTAGGCAGCGGAACCAATGAGCTAAATCCCTGGCCCTACGCTCAATATTTTAATGTGTAACTTCCTTAAGTTATTTCCAGTATAAAGATTTTGTTTCCTAGTCACACACACTCACTCACAGGCAAAGGCTAAAATCAGCTATCAACCCACCCACTTTCTGTTCCACCTTAGAGTATGAGCAGAAAGCCACAGAAAGGACTCTGTCATGCCTACTATCCTAGCCAGGATTGAGTGTTAAACAATTAGCAATCAGAATCTCTTTTCATAGCAGCCAATATGATGTAACAGAAATATACTGAACACTTACTAGCTGTGTGATATCAGAACTTATTATAAACAGAGAACATCTACATGTGGTCAGTAATAATATCTCCATTTTATAGGTGAAGAGACAGGTTCCAAGAGGTGAAGAGATCTGCTCAAAGCCACATAGCTAAAAAACAGCAAAGTCACATCTATTCTGCTATACTTTCTGTCCTTCCTCACTGCCTCGTATCTAAGTTGGAACCTGTTTTATGTACTTAACACCCCACCTGTCATGCCCTGGTGAAAAGGTGGCAGCGACCTCCGTCGGTTTATTTCTTTCATACTTGCTCGCCGCCAGGACTGCCTCCTGTCCTGATGACGGACAGAATATTCTTGAGGGGAAAAATGAAGGGACCTGGATTGAAGTCCTTCCTGGTGGCTGACATCACAATGTCTCCCTTTTTCAGGGCTACAGGCAAGATGAATTCTTTCTTTTGAAATGTCTTGAGTCATCTCCAGGGAGGCAGATGATTTAGTAAACACTTCCACAGGGCGAAGACTTGATTGCAACTGATGATCATGAGTCTTCAAAGTCATTGGTTCTTCTTCTGGAATTTGTTATAAAAAAGTCAAAATACAGAATTAAACCCACCACAACTAATTATCTAAACAAAAAGGCAGAAAAAGGCCAGGGAATGTAGCCCAGTGATAAAGCACTTGCCTAGCATACATGAGGCCCTGGGTTCAATCCACAACACTACAAAAAAAAAAAAAGTGGAGAAAAAAGTATGTCCCCACAAAGTGGCATGTACCTATAGTCTTAGCTTCTTGGAAGCCTGAGGCAGAACAACGGATTCAACCCAGGAGTTTGAGGCCAGCCTGTGCAATAGAGCAAGCAAGATCCCATCAAAAGAAAGGAAGAGAGAAAAAGAAGGAAGAAAGAAACTGTATGGAAACACCAAGAAAGCATTTCTATAAATACACGAGTTTGTCATTTCAAATCCACCAGGAGCCAAGAAAAGATTTAGCTGCAGGTCAGAAGACTGAACTCAAGACAAAAGGTACTGAATTTCACTGTAATGCTTACCTTCCATATTCTCTGTGATGACTGAAGTCATCCTGGGTACAGAACTCTGAAAATAGGAACATGAAGTGATCTGTTCTTTATGTATCAGCTCCAGCCTCACTGGGGTATAACTATCTCAGCATAGGCTCTGTGCTTTCTGGGATCTCTAAATTTCTCTCTCTCTTCCTCCAGAGGCTATATAGCAGGGATCATTGCCCCCTATTCTGAATTACTACAGAACTCACTGCTGGAAATACTATCTTTTACCACATAACCTCTCCCAATTATTCTGTACTTAACTATTCCCTCATTCCCTAATGCAGTTGGTTAGGACCGGTTTGGTTTTCCATACTAGAAATACCACATTATCCTTTACTTCTTACGCTTATCTCTTCCAATCCAAAATCCTATCTGTTCTACCAAGTCTCTTTCAAAAATCTTTCTTCCATTCCAACTGTTTAGTAGTTTAGTTTGTTTCATAATTTCTGCTTTCTCCTGACCCCACTAGCAGTCTCACTGTTTTTTTTTTTGTTTTTTTTTTTTTGATCCAACACTGCTCCAGTCCACTCTAGACAGATACAGCGATTCTTCAAAAACACATTCAAGGGTCGGGGATTTAGCTAAGTGGTTCTGGCGACTGCCTCCCAACCTCAAGGACCTGAGTTCAACATCCCCGGTACCAAAAAAAAAAAAAAAAGCCTATTCAACACCTTCACAAGCTAGTACCATCCTACCAACTCAGGCTCTCTTCTGCTACTCATTCTCTGTACCACTTTTGAATCTTTGAACATATCTGTCCTTCTATCTGTAAAACATATTCATCGTCCCTAACCTAGTTTAAATACTTCTTTGTATTATCCCTTGTACTCCCCAGGGACTAGCTGTAAAATCTGTTCACTGTCTCCCAGACAGACTGCATTTGTATTCCCAGGGCCGGCAGGTAAGTAACTTGAAGAGGTTGGAGACACAGCTTCCTCATCTCTCCCTCCCAGCAAAAATCTACATGTGAAGGTATTTAGTAAGGAGAAATGAATAGACATTTAGGGACAACAGAGAAAAGGTAAAGAACAAAGAGGGGTCCTTCACGGATATAAATCCCCACAATCCTGTGGACGATCACACACTCGCTTGGATAATAACTCCAAATTTGTCATTTAAGCGCTTATTCCACAGGACTTGAGCCATGTACGCGTTTTATTTACATCCTTATCCCATTTAACCATTTTCACAACTCTAAGCGCCATTACACATTCCATTTTGCAAAGACGGCCTGAGATTCTATAGGGACAAAAAAATCTAACTTCAACTCCATCCAGCTCCCCCACACACACACCTGCGCCTCTTTTCTGGCCTCTAGACCGCTGGCACTGCCCGAGCGGGAGGTTTGTCTCGACCTCGGGTTTCTTTCCAATCTGGGAGAAAAGAGCAGGCCTCCCTCCCCATCCCCGGCCGCCCGGGCCAGAAGTCCGGAACACCGGATGCCGTGAGTTGGGCTAGGCCAAGACATTAGTAAGGGTATGAGCGGAACAACATCCGGCGAGGAGTACGACTTCCTGACCTCAGAGCGACGCCAGTTCGGCCCAGAGCCTCTGTTCCAGAACAAACTCTCAGGTCACCCCTGGGACGGCGTCTGTATGAAACTTTGCAGGAGTCAGTCTAGGGCGTACTCCGCGGTCTGAGCCCACGGCGCCATTTGCGAAGCTCCCGCCAACCAATAGCGCATGCGCCCTAGCGGGCCGCTGGAGCGCGTGCGCGCAGAATGCCTGCCTCTAGCGAGGCGCATGCGTACAGCGGTGTTTAGCGTCTTGCCTGCTGTGCTGCTCTTGGGCGTCTTTCCTCCCGAATCCCTACATCCACGTCATCACCTCACCAGCCACACCTAGCGCGGGAAGTCTGCTTCTTGTCTGGGCACTCTGGGGTCCGTCCTCTTTGCGCCCCGCGAGCCTCAGTGCTAAGATCTGATGGAGAAACAGAGGTTCAGAGAGATACTTGTGGAAGGAGTACTGCGCATCAGCGGGCATCTGATTCTCTGCCCCCTTTCCTAGTCCTTGGCCCTGCCTCCTTATATCGCCTCATCTCCTGAAGCGTGGACTGTGCCTCTAGGGCAAACTAGACCTCCGAGCTCCAGTTTATCCCACTTTTGCCCCAGGGGCTCCTTCCATGGCTTCACAGTGTGACAAAATTCAGGAACGCTCCTTTCCAATCTTGTCACAGTCCGCCTCTCCCTACACTGCTTGCAGCTCTGCCCAACCCACTTTGTTCCTTCTGCTCCTTCCTTCAAGCCATTTGCCAGAGACGCCTTTTCCTAGCGAAAGTCTCCAAGTTCAAGTCTCAACTAAACACGAAGCCTTTTCTGTGTTTCCGCGCTGAAAACCAGATGCCCTTTCTGTGCTCCCAGGAGCGCACCGTGCGCCTCCTCCACTCTTCTGGTCGCCGCCGCCGCCGCCCGGGAAGGTTCAGAAGCAGGCTGCTTCCTTAACGCCCAGCATGGTGCCATCAGAATGTTCCCTAGTGCTGGCCATTGGAGACCACGTCTGTCATCTCAATGATATAGGACCTCGGGTGTGGCAAAGCTGGCTAGGAAAATAAATGGGACCTGTTAATTACAAGATTTCAGGACATCACCAAATAATTCTCAGGACCCCTGTGTGGAACACAAAACACCACAGCAGCCCGCTATTGTGACTCCTTGTGGTAGCTGACGCAGAGTGCACTTTTATTTTTGCTCTTATACTTTCCACCCTTTTGTTTGGCCCAAATTCGCTCTGCAGAGCTTCTTCCCTTACTCCTTTACCCCTCACTTTTCAAACGTACTTTTGGCACCAATTTTGGCTTGTCTTGTCCAATTCTTTGTTGGATGCAGGAAGGGCCTAGAGTACTAATTGGCGAGCCATTTCTGAAGGAACCACCAGACAGTATCAGCACTTTGGGAGACAGAGGTAGTAAGATTGTGAATTTAAGTCCAGCCTAGGCAATTTAGCAAGAACGTTTTTCAAAAAATTGTAAAAAAAAAAAAAAAAAAAAAA